GGTCCGGGTGAGTGAGGAAACAAACTTAGTCCCCCGCCTTTTAACATTGAGTGAACCGGCCCTGTATGCCTCCCGGTGCGGCGTTTCTTGACCAGCCGGAGAGCACGGGTGTTGAAGAGGTTATGGGGTTGTAAAATTTTTGCTTCAAATAAGTTATTTGGTGTGAAGTTGTCGGAAGAGCGTGCCTGCTTTCAAACGTTCTCACATTCCAATTCATAGAACAATATCGCACGTACAATGTCTCTATTGAGAAGTTGTAGATTCGTACCCTGCCTGACGACGATCGCTAGGATTAGGTGTTCTTTAAAGGGACAAACGTATTCGTATAGACGCAGAACAGTATCAGAAATTCGCGATTTGGTGAGGTATGTTGTGTCTTTTGAGATTTCTGACATTCTTCGTAATTTCTCTTGTGAAGAAGTAATTGAAAGATATTTTAAGTAGATTATTTTCTGTTGAAATTAGAAATGTGAACTTAATCAGATTTTCCTTTTGAATCCCACTTTTAGGTTTTAAAACCTTTTTTTTTTTTAGTATATATGTCTTGAATATATTTGTTTTTGAGTAAAATTTTAGGCCACCTTATTTGTCAATGTTTAGAATACATATAACAAGCAGTAATGTTTCTAAAACCTTTTACTTCATTGTTAATTACTGAAAACTTACAGCACATCACTTCATCATTTCTGGGTCTCATTGTAATATCTTGGTTACTGAAAAAACATGTCTTTCTTTGTGTGTATTTGCCACAAAAGGAGAGTGAATTAATTTGAAGAATTAAAAAATAACTATATCGGAGACTCAGAGGAATTGGAATGAGGTGTGAAAACTTAAAATAGTTCTTGTTGATAGATTGTTGCTCTTTGATCAGAATAGACTCTCGAAGTTGACAAACGTTTTCATGTTTTAAAATATCAGTGATGCATTAATTACCTATTTCAGTTTATATGGCCTAAATAGTTTACTAACAGGAGGTATCCTGATAAAACTTTTTTTTTTTTAAATCAGTGTTTTTTTTCTTGTAATTACTTTCAGAAAATGAACTTATATTAAATCTTCCAGTGTGAGTCCCCCTGTCTCCTCCCAAAGAAACTGTCTTAATACATTATAAATAAATGGCTGCACTTTTTTTTATTGAGTTGAAAGTGCTTTTGTTCTTGTTTTAAAAATATTAACTGTAACAATCAGCGATTTAAATTCTTAGAAATGTTTTCAATGTAATTGTTATTTCTTCTGTTGTTCATTTGAATCCCAATTTATATAATTTAAATAAACTATGTTCCGTCTTTTCCAGAAATTTTTCATCAGATACACGGAATACTAAATTAGATCGAACTTTGAGAAGATTAGATCAGGATGTACGCAGAGCTGGAAGAATATCCAGAAGAGAACTGGAAGAAGCATTAGAAGAATTGAAAGTTTCTAGTATGTATTATGAACTTTCTTATTTTTTAATAGCCAACGTTTCTGAAGATTGTTTGAAATAAGTTTCCACCAATTGACAAAATACAATAGACTCCAGTTAAAGTCACATTAGATGATTTGAAGTAAAAATTTTACCTTTAAACTTCTTGTTGACAATAATGTGAAAGTTTCTTTCATTTGGATTTGAATTCATGCCAATTGTTTTATAATAATATATAATTTAATAACACAATTTCAAAGAAAATATTGTTATCTCAGTACCAAATTGGTTGAATTAAGAATTCCAAGAATATGACTTACGCAAAAGATAAAATTGTAAATTAAGAGACAATTAATGTCTGTTGTTGTACAAATCTGATCATAATTAAAAATGAAGAGTTTCCCGTCATTTCTGCAATTGTGATTGAGAAGCTTTGTGTGCAATGCAGTTTAACTTTTGGAACAACAAATGTTGTAAGAAGTGAAAAGATTGTCAAAAAAGAATGGAATAGGGTAAAGAAAGTGTAATATTACCTGAACACAAACTAGATTTCTTCAGAAACAATGCATTTGTATTGCAGATGCACTATTAAATACATTTTATTATCTTATTTTAATTGGCATTTGTTTTATATGAATGTTGCTTTCTTGTTGGATAACAGAAAATAATTAAGGGATTAATTTAAATGCATAGATAATAACTGTCTAATTTTTTTTAAGTTTTTAAACAAATACAAAAATAGTTACAATTACAAATATCATTTTTACAGTTTCAAATATTATATACTAGTTAGAGTATTTTGTGTTGAATGTTTTCAGAGTCTGCCACAGGAACACAATCTCTTCTTCTTATCCGTTGTTGTGGTAGTCTTCTTCCTGAAGAAACTTCAGAAATGAGAACTCAGTTGGTTGACAATGTTTGGACAATGCTGCATAATTTTGGTATGTATTAGAATTAAAGTTTCCCAATTAGTTGTAAGTAAAATGGAAATGGTTTTAGAAAAGGTTTCCTCCTCCTCCTGTTAGTTGCAATTCATAGAAAATATGGTAGCATAGGAGTTCCCAAGTACACACATCCTTAGAAAAACTTTATATTCTGATTAAACTAGGTTCTTCAAGTGTAATTATGAACACAGTATACATTTCCCCATTTTCATCTTCTTCTGATGTTTACGTGAGGTATACAGAACAGCTTGAATATATATTCGAATTAAATCTGAAATCTATGTTATAGTTGGAGATTTCACTCTACCTCATGTCTCTTGGAATCAATTATCAATTATTTAATATAAAAATTGACTACAAAACTAACAGATGAGGGAGAGAAAGGAGGTTGAGTGCAAAGGATGCGCAGATTGGCCGAGCAGAGAAACCTTTTGTGTAACCATGTCGAATCGTGATCTCAAGATTATTTCGAGTGTGTGTGACACAGAATCACAAGAAATGGCCTGAATTGTTACCACACATAAATACTTGGTTGAATTACATTCCCTACGAATCAATCGGATTTACGGCATATGAAGCGCACTTTGGGAAAAAGCCTCCACCTGCTTTCCCTAAACTGGCAGTTTTTGAACCACAATTACTGATAACCAAAAACACACAATTATTCTCAACAACCTGAAAAAGACGGGAGAACTTTGCAAGAAGCAACAAAAGACCAAGACCCACAGGATGAAAAGATAGGGCTATGTAACTTTTACAATATGATTAAAGAAGGTGATAAAGTTCTAGTAAAAGCTCTCTGGGTATCAAATGAACAGGCAGTAGTATTTTTCAAGTTTTTTCCTTTGTAAGTTGGACCATACTCAATTCCAAATATATTTGCACCAAACATGTCACCTGGTAGACACACAGGATGAAAAGATAGGGCTATGTAACTTTTACAATATGATTCCTTATAAATCTTAATTCTAAATGGTAAATTGTGTTGCTTTGTAATAAAACAGTAGTAGTTATTTTCATTTATACTAATGTTTTAAAGGATTATCTTTAACTACTAGAATGAACAATAAAATACCAATTGTAAAATGTTTTTAGGCGGATATGAGTCCTATATTACGGTATCTTTTACTGCAAAAAGCTTTTGTTAGTCTATAATGTAAGTAATTATTTGATTCACGAGTTCTGGTAATTTCTGATTCTAATTTTGTGGATAACATAGATAGTAGATGAATAGGTGAACTCTAACTTTAAATTATATAGGTAATTTGTTTTCTCTCTTTTATGGTTTTTTACTATAGCGATATAAAATGATGATTGTTACTGTTAGGATAGGATTATTATGTTATTTCATTTGTTTTAGTTAGCAATTATTTAAGTTTCAAAAACTTCAATTTTGACGGCGGGGTAATAATGTGATATATCAATTATTTAATATAAAAATTGACTATAAAACTAAGTGATGAGAGAAAGGAGGTCGAGTGGGACGGACATGCAGAGACAAATTTGTCTTTCAGACAAATATGATACTAAATGCTGGAAATGGAACATTGGATTTGATATTTGCTCATGATGAACATAGTGTAGTCAGAGAGGCTAATTGTACTTTCATACTATGTGATTCATATCATTCTGCCTTAGATATTATATTTTCATTAAAATATGAATTCTCAAGCCTTAATTTTCTAGGTATGAAATATAGATTTGAAAATGTGGATTATGAGAAAATCAATGATGAAATTGTTTCATTCAACTGGTTTCATTATTTTGAACAATATTCACTTGAGATAGATTTATCTTATTTTCATGAAAAAAAATGTATGATATCATTGAAAATTATATTCCAAAACAAATTATTTATTTAGACACATATCCAGGATGGTATTCAAAAGAACTAAAAAAGCTATTGAGAGATATGTCTAAAGCTCATTCGAATGATAAAATATCAGGTGATGATGCAGATTATTGGAGTTTCTCAGAAATTCATAAAAAAATGTAAAGTTAGAACTGCTGATTATTATGAATTTTATATACTTAAAACAAATCTTTGATGATAAAATAGTTGATAATTGTACATACTCGTGTAAATATATCTTGGTTAGAAGTAACTCAAGGGGACGTGATCAGGGCAATTGAAATGTTGAGTGGTAAATTGGTCCCGGACCAGATGTTATACTTTTGTCATTTTTGAAAACTGTAAAACTAACATTATTCCAGTATTGCACTATTTGTTTAATAAATCTTTTTACGAAGGTTCATTTCCATCTGTTTGGAAAAGAAGTTTCGTTACTCCCATTCACAAATGAAATGAAAGATCTAATATACTTAATTATAGACAACCACAAATTTACTAACGTTTCAACACTATGCTTTGGAGAAATTAGAGACTAATGTACAAGTTGTTGTAATCTATACAGATTTCACCAAAGCATTCGATATTTTAAACCATAAAATATTGCAGACACTAAAATATCTTGGAATTCATGGACTGTTGGTTGGAATCTTTGGAAAATTTTTAGTGTGACAGACTTCAGAATGTGAAATATGAATCCTTTATATCAAAAGATATAATTGTTAACTTAGATGTTCCCCAATCGTTTATATTGTTTATCAATGACATAAAATTGAAACTTCCCTCATGCTTATTTTTAATATAGCTGTTGATCTGAAACTACATTCTGTAATAAAATCATTGCAAGACTGTATTACTTTACAACTAAACATAAACTTATTAGCGTCATTGTGTAATAACAATAAAGTTCATCTAAGTATACTTCTTCTGTCAGCTCTCTGCACTGTAGTTTTGCCAAGGCCTTTCTTTTTTATTATGGTAGCCCAATATCTCAGTCTTACATTTTTCTTCTCTATCTTTCCTCTCTTAGGGTTCTCAGATCTTCCACCTCCTCATTCCATCTTAACCTCAGCCTGCTCCCGGCCACTCCTCCTGCCAACCATGCTCCCTACATATACTTTCTTTACTCTCTTCCTTCATTCTTATTACACAACCAATCCATTCCAACCTTCTTATCTTGATCCAGGTAACTATCTTAGGTGTTTTATATAGTTCGTCCAACTCTGCATTTGTTCTACTCCTCCAGATTTCATTTTCTTTAACCAGTCCAAAAATTCTTCGTAAGATTTTCCTTTCCCATGTATCCAAGTTATTTTCCATTTTCTCTGTGAGGGTCCAAGCTTCAGAACCATACAATACCACCAGTTTGATGACAGTATTGTACAATTTTAACTTAATAGACTTTGAGATCCTTCTTGTGTTAAATATTTTTTAGAGGTTGCCATAATGTCTATTACCTGCCATTATTCTCCTTTTAAAATCCTTTTCTACTTCATTATTTTTAGTAATATAGGAGCCTAAATCCTCTGTGGCATTCACCCATGTTTTTTTCCATCTAAATTGACACATTTTAATTTATGATTTCTTGTTGTTCTCATATAATTTGTTTTAGCCTCATTTATTACCAACCCTACTTCGTTTGCTCCTTCCACTAATTGGTGTAATGAACTTTCCATTTCTTTAATTGTTCTACTTATTATCACTGTGTCATTAGCATTTGCCATTATTTGCACGACTCTATTCATAATTGTTCCTTTTGGGTTAATATCAATATTTCTCATTACTTTTTCATGCATATGTTAAATAACATAGTAGATAAGTCCTCTTCCTGCTTTAATCCACACTGTGTTGTAAATTCCGCCGATATTTTTCCTTGGAATTTAACTACATGTCTAGTACTTCTTAGATTCGTTTGTATTAATCGTACTAATTTGAATGGTATACCTTCTATTTATATTATCATATGCTTGTTTGAAATCTATGTACAGTTGGTGAATCTATACATTTTGCTCATATGCTGTCTCCAATATTTGCCTGAGACTGAATCTTTGTTCCGTAGTACTTCTAAAACCACTTTGATAATCACCTATTACTTGATAGGCATAGGTGACATACTATTCTTATTTTTGTAGCTAACATTGCTGAGAAAATTTTATGAACCATACTCAGTAATGGTATACCTCTACAGTTCTTACATTCCATTTTCTTCCTTTCTTATATTTTGGATGTAGAATCACCATTTGCCAGTCTCTTGACATTTTTTCTTCCATCCATACTTAACACACTAATTCATGTATTTCCTTCCATAAAGTTTTAGGTTCTACCTTCTGATGCTATACCATCCAACCCCAGGGCATTATTATTCTGTAATTTCCTTATTGCTGCAAATGTTTCATTCCTTGTTAGTTCATTTAATTCCAAGTCTGGTCCATAAAACTTTATATATTCACTCTTTTGGTTTCCAGTCAAAAGTTGCTGGAAATATTCCACCTACCTGTCCATTGCCCTTCCTTCTGTGTCAATTAAATTTCCTTCCCTGTCTCTGCATGTAAATACTGTTGGTTGATATCCCCCTTTATAATTTTCAATTCTCATATAATATTTTCAAATTTCATTTCTTCTTTTTAATCTTTGAATATCCTCTTCATATTGTTTTCCTTTGCATTCCCCCGCGTTCTTCTTTCCAACAATTTCTTCTGGCATACTTCCCTCTCTTGTATTACTATCCTACATTCTTCATCATATCATAGTTTCCTCCTTTCTTTCTTCCTCTCCTCTAGCACTTTACTTGCTATTGTTATCATACTAGTTCTGCCATTTTCTTCTACTTTTTCCTCCCCTTCTACTGGTGGTAACTTTCCCTGGATGTTTTCTCAGACTTTTAGCCTATGTATTGTGGATTGAAGAGGAGTTACAAAATCTTGATTAAATGAAATATAACAAAAGCAAATATTACCTCAAAATAGTATAATAAATAACAGATATTTGTAAATAGGTGTTTTTTGTATTTCCTCTTCTATAGCACTTGGGCTAGGTAAAAGCATTATTGTTTACTTTATTAATTACACCTGGCACTTCACCCTTCCAACAGTGCCGTATTCCTCTATATTGGTCAGTGTTGTGCGAGCACTGTATCAGATTACACGTTTCCTAGTTGCAGGAATAAAAATTTGTGTTAAATAGACAAGTTTGAGATTCAAAAAATACTTTACTAGAGAATTATTTTGATTTATTCAATATTTCACGGGTCAGCAGATAATGGGTTGAGGAGGAAACAACAAGGACTTATCCTTTGTCACTAAATGTTTTTTATATTCTTTGTCATTATTCATTATTCAGTGTTTTTCTAATCTTCATTCTAGAAATGCCAATGGATGTAAGTCATTATAATGCACTTCTACGAGTTTACTTGGAAAATGAACATCCTTTTTCTCCGACGGAATTTTTGAGAGAGATGGAAAAGAAAGGAATAGAACCAAATCGTGTTACATACCAACGTTTAGTGGAAAGATACTGTCAAAGAGGAGATATGGAAGGTGCTACTCACATTTTAGAATTCATGCGAGCAAAGCAATTGCCTGTAAATGAACATATATTCAATTCTTTAATCCTAGGACATTCAGAAGCTGGGTGAGTAGTATTGTAAATAAAATGTGGTCTGTCAAAAATCATATTAACTTTCATATTCATCCTGATTTTATTCAAGTAATAGATGTAATCTTTGTGAAGACTTGTTTGCAAAGATACTATTTTTCCTGTTATTGCTGTTTTCTGTCAAAATCTAACATCATTCATGTCTTTCCAATCACTTCTTTTTTCCTTTCTAGAGATATGAAAAGTGCAGCAGACATATTGAATGTAATGAAACATGCTGGATTAGAACCTAGTTCAGAAACGTACACTACTCTTCTATGCGGTTATGCAAAACAGGGTGACATAGAATCTATAAGAACCACATTGGAACAATGCAAGAAAGGAGATATACCTTTGCTTGATCAGGACTATATGGATGTAATATACACATTGTGTATTAATGACCACAACCAACATGTTGATGAAGTAAGTATGGTGTAGAGATGTTTTTAAAATTCAAACAGATACTTCTGTTACATTCTATTACATACTTCTAAACATTATGATATTATTTGGTACTTTATAATAATTTAAATGAAAAGATTGACTTCCAATGTATTTACATATTTCTGTAGACTCCTTTTGGCTGTATTACTTGCATGCTGTGATTCTTATTATAATGGTGCATTACATCTATCAAACATATTTCAGAGTAGATTAAATTGTTTAAGCTCCTTTATGAGCATGTTTGTTTCTCTTTTTCTCATGCCCTTTCTGTATTTTCTTTTGCTTCTTTTTTTGCAAATTTCGTTATCTCATTTCTTTTCTGTTGTAAAATTATTTGTGGTGAGTTACTAATATTATAACACGTATTTCTGCTGCATTTGATATTTATATGTGTGTACATTTACAGATTATTGGAAAGTTCCAGCACACTGCTGGGTTCAATCAGGATGCCTTTAATCTTGTATTAAAACTGACTAATAAGAAAAAGTTTGAAATGGCAAAGAAAATTCTTTATACTATGTCTCAAGGAGCTCGTGATGGCCAACTTCTACCATCAGGAAATTTTTTTATCAAACAGCTTGTGAAAGCAAATTGTGTAAGTAAAGGAATTTGATTATTTTTATATACAGTAGTTCTCAACCTTGTCTGCAGGGGGGGAATCCTATCCCCTGCTGTCCATAACTGTTAATTTATAAGAAATATGAACCTTTTGTTGCTTATTATCTGATCTGAATTTAACTGTTTTATTAATCTATAAAATAATAAAGTAGAAATGAATAAAATGACAACTAAATGCACTATAAGATTATTTATTAAAATTTTAAACCTAAACACAAAATTAATAATAAATGAAAAACAAATGAGATGGTTGAGCCTTGTGGAGTTTTAACATTTTGTCAATATCCAGATCCAACTTTGTTCAATCACAAATCACTATGTTCAGTAGTACATTGTCTGTTCTTCTTGGCAGTAAATTAGCTATTGCATTGAATCCACTCTCAGCCTTAGAGGGTAAAATAAATGTGATTAAATGGTTCTATACTATTGTCCACACTCCAGGGTAGAGAACTGATATAATATTATGTCGTTTTTTGATAGAATCAAGATTTCACGCATTTTTCCATCTCCATCTTTAAGAAAGTTCAGTACGTAGTCAAGGAGATTTTAAAAAATGGTGTTTGTCTCAATTTTTTCAATCTACTTGACTCAGTACTTGAATTTCTTCTGTGTGCAGCAGTAAGCAATTTCAATCATCGTTTTCACTACAAATCTGAGGTCTGAATGTGCTCATAAGCCAACACGTAACGCGAAATTTGCACTGTGGCCATTCCGCGTACGCTGGAGGTCTTCCGTGCCTCTCTGTGGGAGCCTTTAATGCCGCAAATTCTCGGCAGAAAAACTTATTACAGTGCTCTCGCTACGAAAAATTCAATAAATGCAGATGCTAAATTTAGAATCGTGATCGAGTTTATCACTCAAATCCTTCATGGCTTTATCCAGCTCTTCTCTGATGATTTTCTCTAGCCCTCGATTCGTAGCCATCACACTGTTGGATGAGCAGCAATCAAATATTACGGCGGTAGGAATTCCACTTACCCTATATCCACAACCAGGGTGATACGTCACTTGACACTTCACGCAAGTTAAGATAGCCTTGGATACTGTTTTGTTGCAATAGTTGCAGATACTCATTCGACCTATAATCAAAGAAACTGAAGTATCCAAGTATATCAATTACAGTAATTTACAGTGCATTTCCCTCACCACCACGGCCAAAATCATACAAAAGTTGGATTCCACCTCGAGAGATGTACTTCCGTTGGTGTTTAAGCGATCCGCACTAAAATCCTGCAAATGGTAGTTTAAAATTGGCGCCAAAGCGACAAGTGGTGCTATCTACAGCAATTAGTACAGTCACGTGATTTTAATCTCACTTCGGGTTTTGAGGTTATACTTTAATTCGGGAGGAAAAAATACGCTCAATCTTTTTCAATCTCTCGCAAATATTCCTGCCTCCAACTGCACAGTCAGATCGGATGTCCAACTATTTAACAAATTCAAAAACAGACTTCCCTTTTCCACAGATCCACAAAAAAAAAAAAAGAAAAAAAGGTTACTCAGTATCACTCGTAAACACAACACACCACACCACACCACGTTCGTTCGTCTCTTTCCTCTCCTTTCCTTCCTCTTCTTTCCTTCCCCTTCCTCTTCCTTCCTTCCTCTTCTTTCCTTCCTTCCTTCCTCTTCTTTCCTTCCTTCCTCTTCTTTCCTTCCTTCCTCTTCTTTCCTTCCTTCCTCTTCCTTCCTTCCCCTTCCTTCCTCTTCCTTCCTTCCCCTTCCTTCCTTCCTTCCTTCCTTCCTTCCCCTTCCCCTTCCCCTTCCCCTTCCCCTTCCTCTTCCTCTTCCTCTTCCTGAAGGGCATCAACTGATGTCACATCAGCCCCTCGGACCGCCCGGTCCGAGTCCCGATGGTGACAGGATTTTCGACACTTAACTTGTCATGTAGGTCGAATTCAGTCGCCGTCTGCAGAAGAATTCTAGCGACATGCTGCTCTGATCGGTTGTATTCCCAATTTCTCCATGTTTCTCAAATCAACACCAGGCGAACGCAGGAACAGTACCGTAAAAAAAAACCGGCCCGGACCGCATGCAATCTTTCCTTCCTCTACCATTTCCTATCCTCAACTGGCCTGGCCCAGTACTTTAAATTTATTGTGAAGTGAGCACTAAAAGCAAATGCATTTACCGAATTGGATGCATGTAACCTTATACTTTTACTAGGATGGAAATGCTGGGAAAATACGTAGATTGTTGGAGAATGTTAGGAAATTAATACACATATTCATCCCTTGCATAGGGTTCTGTAAGGTTTGGTATGTGTTGTTTCTCGTCAAATTTCCTACACAAAGAAAATTAATTTTTTTGATGAAACTACTGAGAAGTACATCCGCTTTTTACCTATGCAGATTGTATAAATTACTGAAAATCAGAATTCAGCATTAAATAAGTCGCAACTTCCAAATACAATGGGAAGAAAGGAAACAGCATATCCAGATTCAGTTTTTTGCAAAGCCACTCATACTATTAACAATAGCTGAGTACAGTTACCTTTCTGGTTTTAATACTGAAAAGCTCGATTTGGTTCAACTGTAAATTGCAATGCTGAATACTTTTCACAATCCATATATATTATTATAAGAAATAAATTATAAACATTTATTATAGATGACTTTCTTTTCTTTTCTCTTCTCCAGTGCTCGTGAATGTTTTGATAATGACTCTATCTCCTTATAAAATGAAAACCATTATTCTTGCTAATCAGTTTAAGATGTAATATCATGAGTGCTGTATTTTTTTGGTGCTCATAATTTAACAATAGAGCCACATTATTATCATCATATGATTATTATATTCTTAAAAGCAGATTCAAGCGTAAATATACTATTTTTGTTGTTCTGAATATAACCACACTCATTTAAGTGGTGTCATCATCGTGCTTCAGAAATCTCCAAATTTACTTATGAAATGAAGTAAAAGCTCAGATCTATTCACATCATTTTATGTAAATGCTGGAAAAACAAGTTCTTACAATGACAATATGTATTTACTTTGAGCAAATAGTATTTACTAGATGTAAAAGCAACTACTCATTTTTTATTCATCAAAACATTAATGTTAACTTCAAAAGTTGTTATTATTATCATTACATTTATTCATATGAAAAAATGAGTATGCTGACCAGGATGTATGTCTCAAAAGTCTGAAATTGACATTCTTCCCTGAGCAGATTTAATGGTATTTCTAGAATGTTATATTCTCAATTCGTGACACAATGCCGCTTTTAAATTGAGGGCAATTAAAGATTCTGGCCTTGGTCTTTCTCATCCTGTGCTGCTACGCAAGAGGCAATAATTTGAATAACCTACAGATCGCTACTGTTCACATGGTTTCCTCCTGCAAGGTGAACCTCTCTTATCTGCGACAGATGTAAGGCTGACCTCTCCTTGGAATGTCCTTTTACGTTCTGTAAAGATTAATGGCAGTAAACACTAACAGTGTCTGTGCAACTCTCTATGGAAGGTGCTCGACAACAAGTCTGCGCTGTCACACCCCTTTCCTTTTTGTGGTTCTCCTCCTCTTCCTCCTCCTCCTCATCCCCCTCCTCTTCATCCTCCTCCTCATCCCCCTCCTCTTCATCCTCCTC